CCCCCCTCCTCCCTCTCCCCTCTCCCTTTCGCTGTACCACCTATATACATGTAACCATATAAGCCACCCTTGCAATCTCCTCCAGGACGAGAATCGGCCTAAACCAGGCAACAAGGTGTACGTCCGAGCCAGGGTCAAGCCCAAGAACGTGTCTTTCTTCTCTGTCCAGAACGAGGGTGAGGACAATGACGTGGCCGCTGATGACCCTCTCAAGACGTCAGCCCCGAATTCCAGGTCGCCAATTTCCGGGTAAGTTGCGTCAGGCACTAGCATTACTAGCAAGATTCTGTTAACCACATTTCACTTTGATTTGATGTGATGGTGTTAGACCTTTTCGGAAGATATCGGTGAAAGCTTGAAAACATCGTAGAATACGTGCAACAAGGGCGGAGTGGACGTAATTTCATAAGGGACGTTGTAGATCTATCAGCAATTATTGTTCTGCGAGCAAAGAAAAAGCGGTTGGAAACAGAATCGATTGATATAAAAAGGTCTAAGGCCACATTTGTCAAAGTAAAACCCGTTTGAGCGCCATTATGAAAGGTAAATTTTACTCAAGAGAAAAAGCCAACGACATGGACGAACGCAAATGGTCCAAACAACAAGAACTAAAAATTTATACAAAAATACCAAAGTGGTATTAAGGTCATTTCTGATTTGTCTGTGGTCATAGGAAGGTCTATGTAGTGGAGATTCTATTTTTAATCTAGTATAACCATCGCCTCTCGAAGCTATTGTTTTTAATTTCTTAGCAACCTCTGTGGCATGCACACATTGCGTTGTGCTTCGACTTAGCAGTAGGCCTGATCCCGATGCACATGCTCTGTCTAGAGAGGGGTGGTGAGCACAGGTTTGAGTAGTTTAATGCACACGCGCCCATTGTGGGTAGGAGTGGCACTCTTTTCTTGCAAAGTTTTGTTTCTTTATACTATTCACGTAAAAGCATGGTTTCGTTACTAGCGGTAATTGTTGTTGTTGTCTTTAATCATTGCAGCTGTTGTTCTTTTATTTTTACAATTTAAAGTCGTAAAATAGTAGCATTAAACTTTAGGGTACATGTAGGCCTAGGGCCTTTAATATCTTTTCTGTTTATCACAGTAATGTGTGTGGTCGGTTAGAAAAACTACGACATGGGAGTCCTTGACCTCTCGTTTTTTATTATTTCTGTTTGCTAAAAGCTCGTTATTTTACAGGTGTATTTTGTAATTATACTTTTGACTTAAGTAATAATACTCTATTTTAATCAGTTTTAAAACTGACATGTAAACACACTTTATCTTATTTTCTTTTTTGGATTTGATGAAATGAAAAAAAAGAGATTTATAAAACTCTACACATTGAAGACAACTAGACCAAACTTGTTATATATTTTGAGGTAAATTAATTCAAAATATGAGCAATGGTAGATTGTGAGATGGTTTTGAACTACTTTTTATTTCCAGCATGCGACTTCTAGACTTTGTAACTTGCGATAAACCTAGTGATGTCATGTCAGAAGTTCAAGGTCGGGTCTTATAGAACTATCGTAGTATACCCTCTCCAATATAATATTTTTCCCTTCTTCTGTTGACCTTCATTTGACTTTGCCACTAAAACATAATTTTTGTTAGAAAAACTCAACAGAGTGAGTTTTCATTTTCGTAGTTGATTTTATTCATGATATTATTTCCCCCTTATAGAGAATTCTGTGATTCTTACTTCCCTTACCAGAAAAGTTTATTAAAACAACTGGCCTAAGTCGTTTTCTTTTCAATACTTGCTCATTTTTTGTCTTTACCTTGATTAGCTCTAACTGTGTCACTCATAGACTTGTATTATAATGGATAAAAGGATATTATAATCCAAGTCTGTGGTGTCACGTCGTTTTTGTAGTTTTATTTTCTTTTGAAGATTATGACCTCACACGTTGCCTTAGTTTCAGTTTAGTTACGATGTGCTTTATTAAGAATTTCATGGTATCATTAATCCGCTTTAGCTGCCTCCCTGTGTACTTTTCGTTACTTCATGTTTCATTGATTCTGATGTTGTCTGCTAACACACAGTAGGCCTACTAACAATGTTTCTTTTTGAATGTAAATTAATTAAAGCTTTAGATTGATTAGCATAACTTTAGGCTCTAGCAGTATGCGCATAATAATTATGGGAAACAAGAAAGACGATTGGATGCTGTGTGGCTGTGTGTGAATGGCAGATCTAGTTGAAAGGTGGGCAGTAAAGGGGGGAGGGCTGGTTTATAAACCAGTCTCGGTAACTATAGCCTTTTTACATAAAGCCTTATAACAAGGAGGTATAACAGGAAAACATGTAAAATGTAACTTTAATTTTGTTTTGTTTAAGTCTACGGTTGCCATGGTGACGGCCGCCACATTGAAAACAAAACAGCTTTTTTAAAAGTAAAAAGGAATTTTTATTAACCAACAAATTTTCAAATTTGGTACATTGGTAGATATACTCAGTACAAAATTTTATACTGTTGAAATCTTGGATATCTTGAATAGAAAAGAAGTAAGAGATGGATAACTGACCTGCCCCCGCCTCTGAATTCGATTACATATTCATGCATGTAACTCACTCATGAATCATCGATTTTTTTCCACCTGTATAAAGTTAGGTTATGGTATAAATAACAAACCCTGAAAACTTCATTGGAATCAAAAAGAAAAAAAGTAGATAAGAAAAAACCTCAAAAATCGAATTTTTGAGAAAAAGCGACATTCTGTTACATAATACGCAAAATGAAAGTTCTAGGACAGAAAATCTGAAAGTGAGGATTGTAACACAAAGAATAAGCACTTTTTACATTTACAAGTGATTGGAGTATTATACTACGTAAAAAGTACGGGGACCATAAATTTACCAAAAATCGTCAATTTAAAAGTACCCCCCCCCCCCTAAA